TGTTATTTTGAAGTTAGGCTAAAGGTCTTTCATGTGAATTATCTGCAAAATGCTTTTCTATTAATTATTAATTCTATTAATTATTAATTCAAATGTAAATGTAATTATTACACATGCAAGTAATGTACATACGCATCAAGTAACAGCATAACACGGGGGAATATATAGAAACACTCTCCAGACAATGCATTAAACAGTTTATTAAATGAATACTTCAGTACCCCAAAGTACTTTCTCTTGCTCAAGTGCTTTAGGATAATTGAAGGTCATATCTGTCCTTTTTTTTTTAATAAAAAATTAATTTTCTATTGAAATCAGAACTTTAATGGAATTCCTTAGCTAAACTTTCCTGGCTATCAATACACCAGCCAGGAGGGTTTTCTTCCTCACTCATTTTTAATGCTCATTTGAAAGTTGAAGGCAATGCTTCTCATAAAGAAGCATTGAGACCAGTGTAAAATCATTTGATTGGTGGGTCAAGGTTTTGTCACTCGTGCAATAGTTCTAGAGCAGTGGTCTGAACTGGAGACCCTTACAAGTGATGATCTTAGCAAAGGTGAATCAGGCTGAAGAAAAAAAACATTTCAGTGGCAGTAGGATGAGGTAAGGTATTTTAAAAAAAATTGTTATTAATGAAATGGAAGGGCCTAAATATAAAACAAAAAAAGGAACATTATATATTTATACTGTTGGAGTGATCGTTTAAGAGTTTATTATTAATAATTACAGTCTAAATGTACAATCTATGTCAAAATTAAGTACCATAAAATCTTTTGTTGAACAATTTATTTCTCTTAATATCGATTAAGGATTTGTAACTAATGTATAAATAAAATGCTGTATACTAAATTTCAACCTAGTTTCTTACCTAAGTTATTTTTTTTCTTATCAATTTTTCATCAGTTCACATGATTTGCAGTCCTGGTAATGTTTCACTGCAGTTAAGTTGCATATTATTCATAAATACATGTTGACAACAATCCAATTCAGTCTTCAAATAACACTTAAGTCATTTCATATTAAAACATCATACATAAAATATGAAGATTTTGGAAAATATTTTAATTGTTTGTGCCACAACAAGGAAATATTTTAAGTTAAAAGGGTTCAGATTAAGATGTTTAGATTCTAATACGAACAATACTTATATAAATAATTCTGATAGTAAAATTATTAGAGAAGCATGGCTAGGTCATTTATGAATACATCCATATAACAGTACAACTCTGCAATTTATATAAAAGTAGAAATTTAGGGGGAGTGACGGAATGTGACTGCAAGTCACTAAATGAGACTGTGTTTATGATTAGCCATAACAGAGTGTGCTTTTCTCATCCATCATTTAAGGGAAACATATGTTTTCAGGTTATTGATGCAACATATAATGCTTTTTGTTTTGTTTTTGGCTCTCATTCATATTTATATATATTTTTACATTTTCACTGTCTCATTGTGAAATGTCATCTGTGAAATGTAGGCATTAAAAAGACACTATACTCACCAAAACAACTTTAGCTTATTGAAGCAATTTTTGTGTGCAGATCATGCCTCTGAAGTTTCACTGCTCAATTCACTGCCATTTAGGAGTTAAATCACTTTTGTTTTATTTACACAGCCCTAGTCACACCTCCACTGGCTGAGACTAACACAGTCTACATGAAAACAAAATTGAACTTTAATTACATACAAAAGACTCCTGTGGGGTCTAGCAACAGGGCAGGTGAGAAGAAATTCTAAATTAAATAGAATTTACAATGGAGTAAGTGTAAACATTAGATGACTCTTTACAGGAAATGTTTTGGAAGGCAGTGCAAGTCCCATGCAGGAAGGTGTGACTATGGCAGCATAACCAAAATGATTTAACTCCTAAATGGATGAGAATTGAGTAAGACTATAGGATCATAATCTGTAATCATCGAGCTAAAGTTGTTTTGGTGACCGTAGTGTCACAAAAACAAAACTCAAGTGTTACATAAACAATGCAGACAGAGATGGGAATACACTTGTAGTCCATCATTAGACTGGCACCCCATCTTTCATGTCTGGGTTTTAGCTTAAATCATTGTTTCTGATATGGATGTAGATCTTGTGCAAACATGTAACATTCCAAAGTATAAAATGCCCACTAATTGTGACGTGGGGCAATATTCCTTTGTAAAGAGTGATGTGAGTGGAGGTTTGCATTTCTATCAATCATAAAAAAAAGTACAAAATGCTATAACCATACTTCCTTATAAAGCCAAACTGATGTTAGTCATGTTGGTACTACCCATCCAAAACAGTCTGGTACAGTTCTGATGTTGGCCACTAGGCTTATATAATCTCAGAACACTAGGGAAGTTGTGTCCAGTCATGGTCTGTAATAGCCCGAGAGTGTGTTATGTATTATCCTCTGATAATATCACTATATGTGCATTCTACCGCTGGGTTTGTTCTCTTCGTATTGTGTTTTAAATTATACCGTGACTGTCAAAAAGTGTTTCCTGATAGTGGTTTGGGTACATTTTGGCTCAGAGTTTGATAATTTACCTGATTAGACCAAATTTGGATGCAGTTCAAACCAAAATGAATCTTCAAGTCTATTACTTACCACAGTGTAAGTTAAATAAAGGGTAGAATTACTATATATATTAGCAAGCCATTCCTGCTATTGTAGAAGATGATTTTCATTAGACTTGTGTGTAATAAATATTTTGTGATGGTCGAATGTTGGTACCATATGGCAGAATTTGGTACTGAGAATCAAGTTCAAGGATTGAATCAGATGAACCAAAAAGTGTGCAAATGGACCAGTCAATGTATTGCAAAATATATACATAATATTATGGATATATTTTTTAGTACACTGATAGGAGCATATTTGTTTGTTTCATGGAGCAAGCATTTTGGTTTGTTTGTGAACCAAGCACATTTCAGCTGTGAGCTCAGGAATTTTTACTGATCACCCCAAATTCTGACTAATGGAAGTTTGGGCCAAATTAATCTTCAAATCTAATGCACGTCATATGTTAACCCCTTAAATCCGCAGGGCGTACTATTACGCCCTGCAGGAGCCGGCTCTAAACGCCGGCGGGCGTAATAGTACGCCCTCACTTTAATGGCCGCCCACGTGGCCGGCGCTATTCGCCCGCTGCAGATCGCGGTCGGGGGGGATGCCCGGCCCCCAGGCAACCCCCCCTGTGGCCGGTGACCGCGATCTGCAGTCACTGATCGCAGTGACAGGCTGTCACTGCGATCAGTATTTAACGTGTGTCAGCCGATTTCAAATCGGCTGACACACGTGGCCGGCGGCTACCCCCGTGCAGATCGCGGTCGGGGGACTTACCTGGCCCCCCAGGCAGTCCCCCTGGGGTCAGTGACCGCGATCTGCTACTCTGAGATCGCAGTGACAGGCTGTCACTGCGATCTCAGAGCGCTCTGATCGCAGTGACAGCCTGTCACTGCGATCAGTGTTACATGTGTCAGCCTATTGGCTGACACATGTAACTGGCACACAGATCCCCCTGCAGATTGGAAGGGGGGAGTGCTTGTACCACCCAGGCACTCCCCCCTGTGGCCAATTACCCAATCTGCAGGAGGTGATCACAGTGACAGCCAGTCACTGTGATCACTGATCCTGTGTGTCAGCCAGTGATGTAAAATCACTGGCTGACACTGTCTCTGCCCCCTCTCCTGTAAAAATAAATAAAATATTAGTAAAAAAAAAAAAAATTACAGTTAAATATAAAATATACTTAGATCATATATATTATATATATATATATGATCTAAATATATATATATACACACACACACACACACACACATTTACACATACACGAAGTGTATTTAAATATTAATATATATAATTATTTATATATATATTACTATCAAATTACACGTAGACTAATACTGATTAAATATATATATATATAATTATTGTTATATATATATATTTATATATAATATAAAAAAATGTAAATACGTAAAAAAAATAAAATTACAAAAATAATTAAAAATAAATAATAAAAAAATATATAGATGTTTGTTATTTCGTTCTAACTGTATTGTGATATTAATATATATATATTTATATCAAAATACATGTAGAACGAAATAATATATATATCTATATACATAAATATATACATATATATCACTAAATATATACACCTATATATAAATAAAAATATTTTTAAAAATTATATATATATATGTATATATACACATATGTATATATATATACATATATTAATTCTACACATATATTTATGTAATATTTTTACATAATTAGGTATCCTAATTAATTACAATAAGCGGGACCTGCCTGACAACCCATGCCGAAAGTATAGGGAATTTAATTTGCTAGCACTATATTTAACCCTATAACTTTCCAAGACACCATAAAACCTGTAAATTGGGGGTACTGTTTTACTCGGGAGACTTCGCTGAACACAAATATTAGTGTTTCAAAACAGTAAAATGTATTACAACAATGATATCGCCAGTAAAAGTGAAGTTTTTTGCATTTTTCACGCACAAACAGCACTTACACGGATGATATTATTGCTGCAATACTTTTTACTGTTTTGAAACACAAATATTTGTGTTCAGCGAAGTCTCCCGAGTACAACAGTACCCCTCATGTACAGGTTTTATGGTGTTTTCAAAAGTTACAGCGTCAAATATAAGGCTTGCGTTTCATTTTTTTCACATTAAAATTCGCCAGATTGGTTACGTTGCCTTTGAGACCCTATGGTAGCCCAAGAATGAAAATTACCCCTATGATGGCATACCATTTGCAATAGTAGACAACCCAAGGTATTGCAAACAGGGTATGTCCAGTCTTTTTTAGTAGCCACTTAGTCACAAACACTGGCCAAAATTGGCGTTTTTTTGCATTTTTCACACAAACAGATACTAACGCTAACTTTGGCCAGTGTTTGTGACCAAATGGCTACTAAAAAAGACTGACATACCCCATTTGCAATACCTTGGGTTGTCTACTATTGCAAATGGTATGCCATTATGGGTGTAAATTTCATTCCCGGGCTACTATACAGTCTCAAAGGCAACATAACCAATCTGGCGAATTTCAATTTCAAATGTAACGTGCTATATTTGACCCTGTAACTTCCCAAAACGCCATAAAACCTGTACATAGGGGGTACTGTTTTACACGTGAGACTTTGCTGAATACAAATATGTGTATTTTATTGCAGTAAAAGCAAACAGTATTATGACACTGACCGTTAAAATGTCATGTAGAACTAAAAAAATCCAAAAAAATCGTATTTTCTCCCATTTTTTTCATATTAAATTATGTTTCATAGCTAAATATTTGATATTAAATGAAAGCCCTGTTTCCCCTGAATAAAATGATATATAATAAGGGTGGGTGCATTTACTATGAAAGAGGTGTATTACGGTTGGACAGACATGTAGCGCAAATGCCAGGTTTTGTTTACATTTTGTTTCGTTCACACTGTGTACATTTGGCTCCGTCCTTAAGGGGTTAATTGACAGATGCGTGTTTGAAGGCAAATAAACATTAATTTGCCCTTATTTGCTCCTTATTCACTCTCTAACGGAAACCTCTCGTTATCAGACTTATTTGAGTGAATGCAGGTTATGTTATGTGTAACTGCTCACTGTCCTCCAATCAGGATTGTTAGTTGCTATTAGTAAGAATAACCATGTGGACATTTTTTAATCTGGGAATATGGCCTTAATGTCTAATAGCTATTCCAGAAGTAAAAATGAAAGCCCTTGGTTTAAAATAAATAAATACATAAAAAAATATTCATAGAGATTCAAAAGGTCTTTGAAGGTGCCAGAAATGAATCTGTATTTTATAATTCGGTTAAACAAAATTAGAAATTAGACTGTTTCCCTATTTATTCATAAAGTCATTGGTAAGTTAAATATGAAACGAATGCAAAAGAAGTAAGTTTAAGATTCCTCTTCCATCTTTCACATGGCAGTTTTACTGCTGTGCCCAGATGTCTTGTTTTGGACATCCTATTTTATATACAAAGATCATGTTGAGATCTGCAAACACAGAATAAACAATTTCATGTGTAGATAGGATCTGTTTTTGTCTTTATCCCTTCCTGTGGCACAACAAGGTCATGCTGAGTAGTACAGACACACATCAAGCAATTATGTGCCCATCAATTCTGGAAAACAAGTTCTGTGTGTACTATATACTCTAATCTCTTAGTAACTAAATTTTGTTTTCAATTGACATGCTAATACTGCTACATATTCTGAGAAAGGTCTTATTTAATAAACATAACATTTATAGAAACATACATGCAAAGACATTTTATATCACATTGTTCAGTCAGTCTTATGTACTTAAAGACTTTAGAAAAAATAAAAAGCTACAGATGTTAGGTGTAAAACACCCACTCTGTTGCCAAAAATGGACTAAAGTAGGCAATAAAGGGCCTAACCCATAAATATTTAAATAGACAAACCAATAGAAAACCAACTCCGACAGGAGTTAGGTATCCAAAGATTACCACTAGAGTTAATCATTCATTTGAAATTAAAATAGCAATACCATTAAAATTAATTTGAAGTCTTTATTAATTGAAAAAAGACGCTAACAATTACACATAACTTACATTAAAAAAATCCAGTGAGAAAAAACACAAAGTGATCAGCTGTAAATTTATATCAAAGATTCCACAATAGCATTAGAGAGTTTCTAAATTTGAATTTACAGATCCATATATCTTATTTGCATTCTATTTCTCTTGATACATATTTAAAGCGATACATTGTATATGGATAAAAGAATACTCTCTCTTACATTAACTGAGACACAATAAGTCATGAATGAGTCAAATGGATACTACTATTTGATTTCTTATATAACAAGGGGGATCTTAGAAGTGACTACACAGTAGAGAAGCAACTGTGACTAGAAAATGCAGCAGATTCCAAACCCCTTTAAGAGACCATAAAAGTCCTCACTGGTTGGAAAAGTGAACCATTAGATTGTAATTTGGTTTACTCACAGTATAAAGTTTTTTTTTTTAAATCTTGATAAAAGCTTAAATATATCAGTCATCAATACCAACAAGGCATGAATTTAGGTCTGTGGTTATCCCTAATGAATTTGATTACATAAATGTCGCCAGCAATTAAGGTGCAAATCCTTAATTCTGTCCACTACTAGTAGGTGGTGTTTATTAGAAAAATGAGTGGTCATCAGCCATAACTGCAGTAATGAAAACAATAAGTAATCTCTATTATGGGAGATGTACCAACACGGAATGAAACTGATGAATATAAAAGCCAAACCAGTGCTATTCTAATCAGCCCTCCCCAATGCTTACTGCTTTGAGGCAGTCCCCCTGATCTAACAGACAATTAGAAAATCAATAAATTAAGCAGCATCATAGAGTCTCAAGAAAATGCATAAATGGATTCCTTCCAAAAAGTAAAATTAAGCGTCAGCTCGACTCGCATTTTGGCGCAATTCCATGCCTTTATCAAGAGCAGCACATACCTCGGCAGAAGGCCAGTTATTTATGAGAATAGAACTTCCTCTCTGTAGACATGTGCAATTTGTTTTTCCGAATGTAAATTCGGACCAATTTCAGCAATTCGGACATTCGGATGCTTCCGAATTGCCGAAACGCTGAATTTCAGAAGTGCCGAACCTAATTGCTAAAGTGCACTAACCCTACCCCTAACCCTAGATGTGTAATTAGTTGTGGTTAGGGTTAGGGGTTAGGAGTAGGGGTAAGGTTAGGGGTTAGTGTTAGGGAATTGCCAAAGTCCTGAATTGCCAAAGTGCCAAACCAAACCGAATTGCTGAAGTCCCGAATTTCGGAAGTACCAAAACAAATTTTTTGCCCATGCACATCCCTACCTCTCTGTGACATCACACTTAAAGACTTTAGCTGAGGCATGGTTTATATAAAAGAGAAGTTCAAACATATAAGTGAAATGGATTTAGCAAGCTATCAAGCTGTCATATAGTCTTAGACATGGATGCTATTCTGAAAAAGGGGGCTGACTCATAAGAATGACAGCAAAAGCAAAGGGTACATTAAAGGGATTCACAGGGCTACTAGAAATGATTTTACTGCTGGCCTCTCATAGGTTCATAGTAAATAAATATCTCTGAAAACACTTGCCTCACAACTAAAACACAAAACTGGGCTTGTCTTTGAAGAGAGATAAGGGTTCCTGAGGACATGAATGCAAAGGAATTACATTGGTCCATGAAATGATTGATGTACCTGTACTACATTTAAAATAAGCCTAAATGGCTGTGACAAATGGACTATTAACAACCCATATATTGCCTAGAGAATGGATGTTTTCATCTAATTTCTGAAAGGATGGCAGCAATGCAGTTTATTCCACCGAAAATCAATATTTTGCTTTTTATCATGATTTGCCAAAACAAAATAATCTGTGTAGAAATCAATGAAAAGGGTAACCTTCCATTAACTGGTGGACTCCACCATATATTGTTGTTGGGGTTGCCTACTTTGTCACCTTGTCACCAAGAACAAGTTAACCTGATCAGCAAGAAATAAGAAGCCCATTCAGTCCTCTATATGCTCTAGATCCCAGGGCAAATGATATATATAAATCCCAAGCTTTGAACATCTTCATCATATAGATATAGATATATATATACATATATATAACTAACCCTTGATTGATGCTTATTCATGTACTGTTCCTGATAGCTCTTTGTTCATCATCCTGCTTTTTTAAATATGCTCTCTAACAAAGTCCAGGGCCTTATGGAAACATATGTATTTATTCTGATATCATATGACTTTAATTTTACAAAGGTGGACTCTGTTGAACTAATTATGTCTTCCGAAGACAATTTTTTTACAGCAGTACAAATTTTTTTTTAATTCTTTATTTTGGTTGTGCACAAAAATAACAAAGGTATGCTTGCAATGCCAGGACAGCAGTTACGGGCAATTTGAAAACGAGGATAAGTTGACATTTGCATGGCATTCGGAGAAAGGCACAATTTTTTGAAATGTGTAAACAAACTAAATACAGGCTAACTTTGTATGTCTATTGTGGCGGTTCACGTTAGGATCATCAAGCTTGAGACAGTAAACATACGGTAAGTATATAATAGTGATTAGTGGCTGTTAAACATTGCCTAACTAGCTAAAGTGCCCTGCTTAAGTAGCTTAAAACTAGGTTTTATCAAGAGTGTCAGACAGGGTGTTGAGGAAATGGTTAGAGGCTTGTTAGGTTTAGATATCCCCTGCTGCCTTAAGTCAGGGAGTGCTGCATTGCTGGAAATCGTAAGTAATAAGCAAACAAAGATAAACATTAGGTGCATGTGGGGCACAGTGTCACAAATATGCATTTATCTTGGTATCATGAATGTTCTGAGGAGGTGCACTTGCATGTCAAGATGGCTGCTCCACTGCACCTGGATGGCAGTCATCCAATACCCTGGCTGCGTTAAGAGCGTCCACTTGGGTATAATGTGTGAGTGTGGGTGTCCTCATAAGACAGCCTGGGTTCAGAACGTCCGCTTGGGTGAAGGATATGAGGGTGGGTGGCCTTATAGGACAGGTGTAAGACGATTCTCTTGCCTCTGGCCGGAGATGGGACCAGCGGCACGCTGCTACCAGCTTGGTGTCTGCTGGAGACTGCGGTCTTTCCCGCTGGTTTGTTGCTTAAGGTTCTGCTTGTTGCCATTTTCCGCCGGCGTGTTCAATGCCCTGGGATCGACCCTTGTTTACCCAGAGGTTTGGGAGTGATCGGCTTAGGCACCTCCGGGTTTGTTTTGCCTGCGTGGGGCCCCAGAAATCTCACCTCACGGTTTTGTGATGTTTTTAGCAGGGGCATTTTGTCCATCATTTGCAGCCTCCTCCTTTCCTCCAGTGCAGCCCAAAAGCAGTTAAAGAGCGCTTCAAGTTGGTCTCCAATATTGTTGTGAGACCCAGTGAGGTCCACACTATGTGTAGTGTGGCCTCGTGGTTCCTCGACATGTGCGTCCGCCATCTTGTTTGGCCACTCAGCCCCCTTTGTGCAGTCCTGTTCGATGACCAGTATGGCTAGGATAGTACAGGTAACGGACAGCAGCAGTGGGTTGTTTGGACCGGGATGACCCCCGTCGGTCCTGGGGGGGAACGGGATTCGGGCGAGATATAGCTGACAGTTCCCGCTGTGAAGGTCGGCCGCCACTCCCAGCCGGGACCATAGTAGGCCTCAGTCACTCCGGGCCCGTGATCCACCGCATTATGATTCACGATTGCGCCAGTTTGTGCCCGCTGAAATCTCAGTGCTCCCCGGTCTGGTGGGAAGCCTGTTCTGGTCAGTGCCGGTCGGGTAGCCGGTTTTGGAGCGATTTATGCGGGGAGCCCTAGCTCCGTGCGGCCAGTCAGCTAGATGGCCAAGCCCCACCCCCCACAGCAGAACATATTTAATACTTATGCAAACAACATATGTACACTTTTTTAAATTTGTGTGCAGCTGAAGTATGTTTTATATGTCAAATGTTAAAATTACAAAAAAAATAAATTATAATTTCTCTTCCACATTGTAACACCATAAGCATGGAAACATCCAAGGGTGGTGAATATTTATATACACATTTTATTTTTTTGCAATTTAGTTTAATTTTACGTTCATATGGATTTTATAAATATGTTAAATTAGTTTTAATGGGAATAAACAATTTAGTTATTTGAAAAAAATTAATATGTGTAAATATAGCACATGTAATTCACCAGAGACAGAGAATATTATGATAGAATGTCGAATTCATTCTACACCAGGCAAGATAATTAACATTGAATCATTTATACAATACATGAACATATCAGATTACAAGACACCATATTATATATGAATCCGATTTTTTTTTATATTTTGGATTAAACCAACTAAAGTTAATTGCAAAGTATAGCAATGCCCCTGAGTGATTATGTGTTTGTTAAAGTTGTGAATGGTAAATGGTGAACTAAAATATATATAATTAAGTTATTCGTTATTAGTTGGTAGTAAGTTAAAAAAATTTATAACTGTGTTCATTACACTTACACCTAAAACATTTGCATTTTTATAGTGTATAACACCCCTAGAATACAAACAATATGTAACTTGCACAGAGGCATAACTAGATACCACCCGGTGTGAAATTTGACATGGGGCCCTCTCTCCCATGTATCAATTTCCCACCCACCCCACTCCCTCATGTCTCATTCCCACCCCCAGCTCCTACATGTGTCCCATTCCCACCCCCAGAACCCCCATGTACCTTCTTCTCACCGCAGTTCCCAGTCTGACAGGAAGTATTTTCTGTCACACCACTAGACCATGCTACACATAGGCAGGAGGGGAGCAGCACACCTCTCCCCTAGTGATGTCGCCAACATAAGATTTTCGGTTCGCGAACGGCGAACGCGAATTTCGGCAAATGTTCGCGAACCCGCGAACCGGGCGAACCGCCATAGACTTCAATAGACAGGCGAATTTTAAAACACACAAGATGTTTCAAGGGGACTAACACCTGGACTGTGGCATGCAAACTCCGATCCGCGGCTGCATCTTGCAGCAGCTTAGTAGATAACTCCCTAATTCCCACGGTATTAGGGAGTTATCTACTAAAAGGCTGAAAGACCTAAATTGGTCTTTCAGCCACATTTACTAATACTAAGTAAAGATTACTTAGTATTAGTAAATGATCTGCCCCTACTCGCTATGCAGCGAGTAGGGGCATGTCTAGTAAGCAGTGAGCAGCCAGTGGCTGCTCACTGTAAAAAAAACAAAACAAAACTATTGGCTCCCACCCCTGTGCAACGGGTGGGGGCCATTAATTACAATGGGGGGGAGGCCCTACTGTCCTCCCCCCTGGCCCCCACCCCTGAGCGGTGGGTGGGGGCCCTAAATTGGAATAAGGGGGGGACCTAAGGTCCTCCCCCCTGGCCCCCACCCCTGAGCGGTGGGTGGGGGCCCTAAATTAAAAAGGGGGGGACCTAAGGTCCTCACCCCTGGCCCCCACCCCTGAGCGGCGGGTGGGGGCCCTAAATACTAAAAAGGGGGGGGACCTAAGGTCCTCCCCCCCGGCCCCCACCCTTGAGCGGCGGGTGGGGGCCCTAAATACTAAAAAG